ATAGACAAGGGATGAAGGCTCCAGCCAGCTCACATTTTTTAAACTCGAAAAAACAGACGAAAAAAATAAAAAATAAAATCTAAAAAAAATACCAGGTTGAAGAATATTAGTTGCTCCTTCGAATTTCGCCAAAGCCTTACCTACATTTTACCGATATCTGCAGAATAAATCAAGAAAACTACACAAATTTACTCCATTTAGGAATTCCTAACGGTTAGTCCGAACGCACGACATCGTTGGAGGCGTGGCCTGTTCAGCATTTGTCAACAACCAATCACAAGACAGGTTACGAACCAGTTGAGCAAGGCTAACTGAGTCGTGACCTCTATTTCTTACACTAGATACCAGCCGATACCCCCCCCCCGCTCATAGAGACTCCGTATTACAGTTGATTATAGTTCCTGGGCTCCCTGTGATAATTACATTGAAGTGGTACATTCATGTACTTTTTTGTTTATTCAAAATTTGTTGTTTCAAAAGCGATTGTTTTGTCTTTGCTGTACTTCCTGTCTAGAAAGGCAGCAGTGCACATGTCTTATCAGCTGTGTGTAAACTACAAACAGATATCTTATCAGTTGTTTGTAAATAGCAAATAAAGAAAGTGGCCCAACTTAAAACTATTTACCCTCAGTTCAGTTATGTTTGTAAACCATGCATATTAATGAGATGCACTAGTTTGGTGTACACTGGATAAACAAAAACTTGGCCATTTGTTTGCACACAAGAAAAAAATCAGTTTATTTGTACAAGATATTTTTTTTTCAATAAAATAAAAACACTAATGTATGTAGCATGCCTTAGGGAGCTATTCGTGTGATTTTCAAAAAAAAATGTGAAAAGTGCCCAAAAAACTATTCTGCTACCTTAAGGTTAAGATGCTTGTGTTCAACCAAGCCTGGTTGACACCAGGATAGCGCATTAAAATTGCCATTTGATAGAGAGATGGCCAAACAGCCCTGTCATGTAGTCCCAAACATGAATATGACTTCTGTGGCAAAATGCACTATGTGGTCAGCATTAGCACTTGCAACTTGCACATACAAAAATAAAGTCAGAAGAGACAACATTGACATTCAATGTCGGAACTGTCACCTAGCACAAAAAAACTATTTAAAAAAAAAAAAATTGTCCCCTACTAATATTTTGCGGCATCTTCCGACAAATTTTAATACATTTTTTCTAACTTTCTATCCAGCCTGATTTGAGTACCGGTCACTAATTACCATTCATGTGCTCTTAAGTACTGTAGAAAGGTTAATTATTCACTGGGTTTTAATTTTGCTTATTTCGCTGACTGGAAAATGCGCTAAATTTAAACCCAGTGAATATGTAAAATTTAGCATAGAACACAATTATCTAAATGATAAAACCGTGAATTTAAAACCCAGTGATAATGCCTGAAATGCTAAATCAGCGAAATTTAAACCCAGTGAAAATTAGTCATTTTACAATATTCATGAGCTAATTAATATTCATATTGCCATCGTACTAGTTATGATTTAACCTATTTCCATGTAAAATTACTGTAAAACACATAATTAATAACTAATTTAAGATGCCGCTAATGACTTCATTATAATACCCCTTGCTAATAGATTATGCAACATGTGATCAAAATGAAGTAGAAGATGAGTATCACCTCATGATGTCATGTAAAAGATATACCCCCGAAAGAAATGTCCTATTAAAAATGGCAAAAACCAAAATCCAAAACTTTAATAATTTGTCACCAAAGACACAATTCATAGCCTTGCTAAACAACAGTGGTCTAACACTCCCTGTAGCAAGGTGCCTAAAGAAGTGTTTTGAAATAAGACAGCAACCCCAGTGACAACCTTCTTTCACTATTTGAGTTTTGCATTTTGTTTTCTATCTATCGTAGTATCATAATTTTATACTTGCTATTACCTGTAATGTATTAGCTTAGATTGTTTTTTTGTTTTTTTGTTTTTTTTGTTTTTTTTTATCTATTTACTGTTTTGTAACCTTTTATTCCTTCTTAAACTTTTGTAACCATTGCCAATCCCTCCGGGGAATGTGTAAGTGTTAATAAAATTATTATTAAATTATTATTATAAATTCAAAATGGCGGCCAAACAACGTCTTTTTCTCCACACCACAGACTACTTTACAGTCCCTATATCCCTCTATACAGGGCCTGTGTCCACACACACAATTTGTAAACACAGAAAACATAATCTGGAGGGCTTTCTTGACAGTTTTCTTAGTTTTTATGGAGGTGATAACTGCACATTTGTGAAAACACTAAATCTACGCTATTACGTCATTTTACCACAATTTGCTAAAATAGTATGTCGCTTTTTCAACATGTTTTACAGTAATCTGCTTTGATAAAAATGAAAAATAGATACTTTATTTGCAAATTGCATCTAAAATAAGTTTTTGAGACATTGACCTCTGACCTGGCAGCCATTATTTGTTCAAAGCATATCATCAGTGGAAACAAGAATTTGGTCTGTTATCTCATGGAATGCTCATAAATCACATTGATAGTGAGAAATTCCTTGTATTCCTTGAATATAGCTTATGAATTTAATTTTATAAAAAAGTCAAAAACATCAACAAAGGTAACTACGCTCGAGTGCAAGTATAGATTAAACAAACGACAGCTTGGCGCGCATCCCTGTCGGTGACGTGATTGTTCAACTCAGCAAATCCCACCCACAACTAAACCTTCTGTTTATTACTTTCTTCCATTCCATTATCTTGATGTATGACTTATTCCAATCTGGTTTGTTTGTTAAAACAGATTGTTAATCGGAGGTGATTAAAATATGTTGATTTTGAACAGTGGTTTCCGTTTTATTCAAGTTTTGTTCTGTGTTAATTTTTGCATTGTGTTGTTGTGTTAAAACCAACAAGGACAATAGAATGATGGTCTAGTGGCAGACATCCTGTGTGTATCCATAAGGAAATGGAATAGTGCTGGTTGGCAACTCACTGGCAATTGGCTTGGCAGGGTCCATAGCATTGGGAAAATCTTAGGATTTTTTTGAGGTCTGGGAAGTCTTTGAGTTGTCTTTAAATTACAGGAAAAATAAAAAAATCTTTGAAAAGTCTTTAAATTTCATAGTTATTAATTCATGTTAGAAAGGCCCGTTTTCTCCAGGAACTATCATATCCTCAAAACTTTGATGAGCTTTGGTGATGATGTTGGCCTGAATTAAGGGTAAAAATGTCTTGGGGTGGGGGGGGGAAATGCAAGACAGTTTTGGAAAACGTCTGGAAAAATCTTTGAAATTATTTGGCTCTTGGTGCTCTGGACCCTGCATGGGAAAATCTCCGCTTCTTATTATATTCACATTGGCTTGAATAAATTATTGCAAAAAGTACTTAGATTAAATATTTTGTTCTAATGTTTCAGATGAGTAGGAAGAAGAAAAAGAAATTAGCTCTGGTTAATATGCAGAGTGAACACAAGTCTCTACCGATTGCGAGTAAGCCAACTGCACATCAGGATAGGCCACCACGATTTCTAAGGAAGCCAAAAGCAGAGGCACCCAATCCTCCTCAGAGTGGATGCTTTGCTAAATTGCTTGAAAAGCTGAAAGTCAAGTTTCCATCAGCTACGGCGTAAGTATGTCTTCCACCCCGCTCAGAGGAGTAGAAATAAAACGACCACCCTGAAAATCTGGATGTTCACATGAAAGTGTCGTCCAATTAAACTTTTTGCCAATAGACACAGAGTTAGAAGGCTTTTGTTTGTACTTCGTGCTCATAAGGCCCTCCAGTACTCTCAAAATAAACATACAATGTAGCTGCTGAAGTGAAAACAGGATCAAATTTTGATATATCATACTACCCGGGTATTATACATCTGTCACCGCAACGCCGTAAGTTACAGCGTGCCGTAATTTTGCTGTATTTTACAGGGTATTTTCATCCTACCATATTAGGAGACACGAATTCCAAATATGGAATGATTACTCGCAAGCGTCTTCTAACTATATAACAAACATGGCTGCCCCCAGGGTTTGACCGGACTCGACACAAAGAAGTTTGCTAAATCTGTTCTAAACATTTGTATTCCTGGGAGGAAAAGATGTATAATAATAAGGTTAATACTAGGATACTGTAAATTATGCATTCAGACAGCACGCGCTAGAAACCACATTCGCTGCGCGTTGGTTGATACTTCCGCTGTACTTTTTAAAGTAAAATTGGGAGGAAAAGATGTATAATAATAAGGATATCGCAATGTATGCACTCAGTCAGTATGCTGTTGCTGCGTGTCGGTTGAAACTT